CTATCTATCTATCTATCTATCTATCTATCTATCTATCTATCTATCTACCCTTTCATCCAGTAGTGCGCAGCCCGGCTCCAAATACATGCCGCGATTCTCCGTTCTTTGGTTTGAAGTCAGTGCAGAGGCGATACATCCAGCTGTTCCAGCTGTGTGAGGACTCCACTGCCCTGGGACACAGCTGTTCAAAGACAGGTAGCCGAACTTGCAGTGGATCAAACAAACATGAGCTCCACCTCCTGCGGTCTTTAACACTCCGTTCCTTGTGTTTCTTTCATTTATAGTAAAGCAGTGCCGGGAGTGCCCTGAAGGTTGGAGTCATATCGGGAGTGAGTGTTACTATTTCAGCAGGGATGAGCTGGACTGGCCGCAGAGACGAGATAGCTGCGAGGAAATGGGCAGCCACCTCACAATACTTCCCCACATGGAGCGGCATGTATGCAAGTTAATGCAAGTAATATGTGTCTGTGTGTGGTTCACGTACGGCTCACATTATAGGGACAAACACAGGTCCTTTTTGCAATAATGCTACAATTTACATTGAGGACAGTGGTTATGCTTAAAGTTATAGCTATTAGATTGAACACGTGTCAATGTAAAGTCATCTGAGGTCATACTGTCATGTCTGTAGCTCAGATTAACACAATTTATTAGCAATTGACAGCCGGGCTGACCTGCACAGATGTTGTTCAATCTCTTTTATCGGGTCCGTTAGAACATGCTTTCCACAGGAGGAGAAAACCTAAGATGTGTGTGTGTGGGGAAGGATTTTCACTTCTGTCACACATCCAACACATTAAAGAAGGAGCAAAGGAAAATATCCAAAATAATAAATAAATTGCTAGTTTAAATGTCATCACTTTCCCTGTATTTTCAGCTGTTCTGTGTGTCAGCTGGAATTGACAGTGTGACCATTTTTGAGGTCCATGCTCCCTTGTTATGACTCTTTCAATATGCGTTTTCCAATTTTTAACATATAATATACTTTAGAAAATGTTTAAATATATGGCTTATAATGTGGGAGCTTTCTATGTGGTTTACACTTTATTTTGTTCATAGACAGCTGGAATTTCTCAGATGGAGTAATGATGGCTGATTCTTAAGGACTCTTTAATAGAGGGTGATTTTACACTTTTATCATCATTTTTAGATACTCCATTGTTTCCATTTTAAATATGGCATTTGCATTATAAATCACATTTCATCAACAGAAACTAAGACAAGTGTGTACACAGTTTAAACAGATGTGTGAGGAGAATAACAAAACTAATGCTAAGGAGAAATTATAATTAGTTGGATGGAAATCTTTTAAAATGGGTAAATGAACAACGTGTCCTTAAGAGATGGTTTTCAAAGAAGAAAGCTTTCCACTGTCAAAGCAGGAGTTTGTTTTGCACTTAAAACCATTTTACGGTCCTTGTGCAATAGGTTGGCTTTGATCCCTGAACCCCATCTCTCTGTCATCAGAAGCAAGAGCACCTTGACATTGTTTTCAGCTTCACTACAGTGTGTCTATAAATAACAACAGACATTTCAACCTGTTAAACCAGGTTTTCATGGTGAAAACAGGGTATCACTTATGTCCTAGTCTGTCTGCCTGTCTGTCTCTAAATAGATATATAGTTCTCATTATCTATATAGATATGTATAGATATGAACAAAGAGAGCAAATGTCTCTATTTAAAGAAACAAGAGGATTTGGTAACTGTAACTATGACAACTGAAATTCCTTCTCAATACTACAATGGAATATTGTGCAGGTGATGTATGTGTTTTGGTGCTAAAGGGTTCAAACCTGTTTTTCCTCCTAGAATTAATCACCTTGTGCAATGAACTATGTTATGGTAATGTCTGATACATCTGTGTGTTTGTGTGTGTTTTGTCCAAAAAGGAAAGGAATTGGTGGATTTGATTCCCATTTTTTGACAGGCCTCTCTGTAATTGAAAATGAAGGAGACTGGAGATGGGTGTACAATATGACACTCCAGCATAAGTAACAGCAACATAAAAGCATATGTTAATTTGGATAACTCACAGATAACTCAGACACAGATATCTGGCTCCACGTTTTATGTTAACTAAGAAATGTAGCAAAAACACCATCAAAATCATTTATGTATTCAGCACGAGTGTTAGAGTTGAAAACTCAGGGCATACATAATGTCTCATGTCTGAAACTCTGAGGATCTAATTTCCTGATGAGTAACTGCACGAGCTGGATGGCCTGGTTTTTTCACATTTGCCAAAGATGTTCACAGTTTTTATTGTTACTGCTTGCTGCATCTGTCACAGATATTGGGATCAGTGGAACCCAGAGCCAGACAACCACCAGTTGGAAGGAGAGCATGGAGAGGACTGTGCCACCCTACACAGCATCTCAAAGACATAGTTCGATGTTCCTTGTGATCATATCCGTAAGCAAATCTGCCAGATGGAGGTCATTCCACTCACATGAATTGTCATAGACTTGGAACATCAGATACTGCACAGAGCTGTAAAAGATGGAAATTAGAGTCACATTTTGTGTTCTGGGAATGAATCCCTCGTTGGAATAAAACATCTTAAAATGTTATCACAGAAAAGACATCATAATCATCACAATCTTCTGGTTATCTGTGGGAAAAACATTGTTGAAGATAAAAAAAAACTCTTGCTTTTACAAGTACTATTGCACATTTGAAATTTTTCTAGTATTAGTTTTCCTTTTTTTTAAAGTTAGTTTGCTAGGTTTAATATTTTTGAGACTATACGTGTAAGTAAATATCTATTTATAAAACTAAGGTTTTCTAGTCTAGTTTCAGTTTCATACAGCTCACTGGTGACTAACAAGACCAGATTTTACAATACTGAGAGAAGTATGGGTTTGAATTGCACAAGTACATCGATTCTGTGGTGTGAATGAGAGCTGTAAGGTCTCCAACAAGGGAAGTTTTTTGCCTTTTTGATTATTTTCTATGGTATTTTAAGGCCACTGCATGAAAGTATAAGAAATAGCAATACAGGAATGTCTATTACCAAATATTTTGCACATTCTTTTATTATAGAGGTAAGCAATAAAATAAATTGATTAAAAGAGACAAATAGAATTCCAGATCACTGAATAAATAATTAAATATGGATTAAACTGCAATTTAGTACATATCTAAATATTTTTTGTGATTATTATGACATTGTAGAGCTGAATATTTTGTTAAATTGATCTTAATTTCAAGGGCTAATTTTGTGGAAGTTTACGTTCCAAACTAAAGCTCAGTATGTACTTTTTTAGTCAGAAAATGCATCAAATAGATCCTTTGGAATCTCTTACATCAGATGAAAAAGCGTGCATCGGATCGCCGCTAAATGACGCTGTTCTGTCTGGACCGCTTCCTCCTCGTCCCACCCACTACACGTTACTGTCCAATCAGAGAACACGTCGCTTTGTTGTCGTACGTGTGCTGACAGCGGAACTGAACAATCGACAGGGAGGCTACCTGCTGGAAACCTACACAACAAGGTAAATTACCTGTTAGTGCAATCATATTTGATTATTTTTGTCGAAAATATCACTACAGAATTTTATTTTACGGTTCTTCGAGCAGTTTATTTGTATCAACATATTATTCAAAGACTTAAAAAGGCGTGAGGCCTCACGTTAGCGGGTAAGTGAAGCCTTACGGCGACACGTCCGTTAGCAACCTAACATGCTAACATGACACATTGAGTTTGAAGTATGATTAAGATATGTCAAAACGAGACGTCGTTGTTAAAAGCACTCAATAATATACGGAAACACAGTATGTATGTACGTATGGAACAGTGTTTTTTTTATCGATTTCACTGGTGTATTGACACATTAGGCGATTAGCCTGAAATAATTTTGCCGGGGATTTAGCCGTGCAGCTAACTTAAATACACGAGCGGGGGCACTTTTCCTTTGCATGCCCGCATAAAAGTGTGGATCGTTAAGACACATGAACATTAAATCCTTTACGATATCATATGATATACATGTTATTGTAAAAGTGATTATAATGATAATGTGCGAGTTAAGCGTGGAATATGTTATCAAAGGCAGAATTAAATTTATTTCTGTTATTGAAGACAGATGGGTCGATCATGTTTTGATTTTGAATTTACATGCATAATACTTCATTTGACGATTTAATTATTGATGGCTTGAATTTAGAAAGTTGAATTCTCTGAGGGTATTGCGGGAGAAGTCCTTAGAGATCGCACTGAGTGGGATGGGGTGTTTTTCTGTCTTCTTATAAACACATTGGGATTTGGGGTCTCAAGGCATTACTTGTACAGTTATTTCAGTTAGATGCTCCAACATGCAGACAGATACCTTGTTAACATGGCTATGCATCATAACAGGTGAAAGAATGACAAACTACATGACTTCCATTACAAAGTAGCAGTGGCCAAGGCTTATGTTAATTATGGACCCTGCTGTAAATGTTCTATTTCAAAAGTAACTGGTGAAACATCAATCTTTCAGGAGAACATTTTAATAACCTGACACAGTTTTTATTGCCTCTAGCTAGATTATAATTTCCCCCTCCAGTTCAATTTTATAATACTTTATTAATATGCTAAGGGAAATTATACTGCTGCAGCATTGATTGTCGTTGAAGAGATCCTTTGCAGTATGTGGACTAAATAAAATGTACATCTGTTAAACCAACAAGCGGAAAGTTGAAGTGTAGCAGAGAGGCAGGTATCGGTTGGTTTATTGTTTTTGCAGCTTGACAACAACTTAGTTGAGGAGTACACATGGAGTGTTCTTAGTTAAGTTAACAGAGATGAAGTCTTGAACTCCCAGCCAACAGTTAAACACCCTCCTTCTTTACTGTTACCCTTCTCTCAGCAATCTCTGTCTCCCTGTTTGTTCTTGAAGCTGAGTAGAGATGTTTTTCCTCATCATTACTTAATAAAAATAATTATTTTCATCTTCTCATATTGCTGGTGTGTACTCATCAGGGGTCCAAGTCTGTCCATTTTATTTACCAGTGATCTCCCCTTGCCCATGCTAAAAGGAATAAAGTGTGACACCCTCCCTTTAATTTTTCCTTAATTTTTCCGCCTGCTCTACATCCTAAATGTCTAACTCTATTCGTTATTTGTGGTCTATCCCCATGCATTTCCTGGCCTTTGAAAGCTGGGTTAGCTGCTCCAGCAGGTTCATAACTTTGCTGTTGCTGCGGTTGTGCATCATGACATATTTACAAAATTGCCATAGTAACCAACACTCACACTTGGACACTTGAGTGTGGTATATTAACTTTTTAAAGGGATTTATTTTACTCAGTGGTTTGAATAGGTTGTGTGGCCTTTTTGAAGTATTATTTGTTTTTTTCCAAATCATAATGTTGTTGATTGTTTGTCTTTAAGAGCTGTGTTAAGAATGAGGTAATTATTAGGCATCTTTGTTTACATTTGATTTATTGGAATCTCGCATAACATCACTGTCAGACATTTGTGGGCAGATTATGAGATGTTTGCGAAAGGAGGAGTTTCAAACTGCTGCTTTTGGTTTTCTACTCTCAATGTATCCGATTTTTTTCTACTCTTGAGTCCCATTACAGGTTATTCAAGACGATGTATTCACTAGAAGAGCTCCTGCTGAGTGAGAAAATGTAAAAGTGAATAAGGTTATCCCCTCTCCATCCGCAACATCCCTGTTGGCAAAGTAGTTTTTCTTTGTACAAGCCGTAGTGGGCCCTCTACAGCCTGTCTGGAATTGTTTGTGCCATTCAAAGTGTTGCATTTCAGCAACAGTGATGGTGTGATAGCAAGCATTTGCTACAGAAGTGACAACTTGTTAGTGACCCGCTCTCCTAATTGTAGACTGACAAAGCTTCATACAGTTTTTCATGTTTATAGCCAAATTTGAATAATCACAACCTGTTTTTTTGTTTTTCAAGTGTTTACATTTTCAAAGGGATGTTAGTCAATCTAATTATTCAAAAGCTGTATTAACCCTCCCAGATAATGTGATTAACTTCGGCATTCATTGGAACCTCACTTGTCTGGCTTTGACATTTAACTTGCTAAGGTTTTTGGATAAATCCAGTCTGAAGGAATGACATATATCGTCTTAAAAAAAAAAGAAGAAGAAAGAATGCAAATGTACAGCACTGCCAAGCTGTAAAACGGTTGTCTAATGTGTTTTTTTTGCAGTGAGAAATATGTGTTCGTTTTAATTTTTTCAACCTTATTTTGCCCATTAGTTTTAATTGCACTTCTTTTAAACGATAGTATTTTACATTAGTCTGTTTAGTGGCTTCAGATACTTTTTTTTTAGGTTACAATTTCAACAATGTTCATCTTGTTCGTTTATTAAAATTAATAGAAAATATGCAGATGAATCCAATCAAGTCTCGGGTACTGAGCATGATTAGACTTTGAAAAATACCTGAGATGATAAGCCGCTGTTTCTGAAATGCACAGTAGGTTAATTTACTTGGTTGGAACACATGTCTGCTCATCTGTTCAGCTTGCCAGGGAGTGTACTCTGTGGTCCTCTTTGATGGCGGTCCACTGGGACAACATGTGGAAGATGTCGGTGTGAGAATCTGAAGGCATCAGATTTATGATGATGCAATGCAGCCGTGCTCCCAGCGGTCGTTAGGACGAATAAAAACCAGACAGACTAATATTACCATAGCAGTGGATTTTCAAACGCTATTGAAATAATTTTAGGAAGTGGCCTTGGGTAGTGAAGCCACCCTGATGCAACTTCTACGGTTTTATTATGAATCTGTATCACTTGTTACCATCGTGTCTCAGGATGTGCTTGCGGGGATTAAAGATCATAAAAAAATCCCATCAGTCAGTTGTACGTGTCCTCACACCAGCATTTCTGTCAGTTTTCTTTTGGCCCTTTTCTGTAAGGAAAAAAGATCAAACTGGTATCTAATTCAGCATTTCTTTTATCTTTGGGTGGCTGGACAACATAATGAAGACCCTGGAATTATCCTCCAAATTTCTTTTTATCTGGCTGCAATGTTACATTTTAAATCTGTGTTTAGGGTTGAGGCAGATTTATTTATAGAACTACTCTGGTAATCATTCTGGTTTTGCCTTCAGCCCAAAGTTGATTTACATCATGCACAGGGAACGGGTTTGATCACATTCATTGCACTTGTTGCCCACAGTGGTGCTCCTTCTCCCCTCTACCTGAGTCACTCGTTTAGCTGTTTCAGGGTTAAGTGGTTCGGTCAAGAGTCCTTGTCTGTGGGGTGAGAAAGAGAGCTTTTCATTAATATGCATGCACTCTTGTTTACACGTAAAAAGTGGATGTGTCATTGTGAAGTGCATTTCCAGATGTTTTGGAGTCCCAGTTGTTAAAATGGTGCATTTTTGTGCCCATTACAGTATTTTTGGGATGATTTCCTTTAAAGTTGACAGCAAAATTGAGAGAAATAGTTTCCTTGCTTTAAGTCGATCCTGCTCCGGTACTTGTCTGTGATACTTGAGTGTGACCTGCTGTCTGTGGGTGTTGTTGCCTTTGTCCCCTGGCTTCAGATGGAGGTGGAGCAGCTCCTGTCTCTGTCCGGCTCAGCACTGGCCCAGGCTGTCAGCTCTCTGCTGGAGACCCCAGGCCTCTATGTTTTCTCAGACATCCTGGAGCTGCCTAATGTCAGAGAGGTAAACAATTTCTCACTCTGCTTCCCTTTCACATCCCCTGTCTTTTTTTGGGGGGGGGGGCATTTTGTCTGACAGCTTAACCAGTCCCTCTAAACCGCAATGAAAATCTGACCGAACACAGCACAGTTTGAGAAGTCACTGACACAAATGATCACAATGATTGCACAGCCTCCTAATACAATGAAGGCCTGAAACCATCATGAGATACCACCCAATATGGAAATCCTCCCTGGTAATAATAATTTTCATTGTGGAAAGTAATGGGATTTGTCCATCCTTTACCCTTCAATCACACCCAAACCGGTAGCAACATTTGGGATACTTTTACAAACTTAACCACGGAATTTGGCCTCCTTAACTCAGTGACTGTCATGTGGTTTCGGGCTGCTATAATGGACGACAGGCATCACTTCACAAACTCTGCAGGTGACATATTGTCTGAAATTTAGAGCTGGAGCAGAAGGGCTAGAAATGTTCCAGCTGTGTTGATTGCGTGTGCACGGAGTAGAGAAACTAGTCCGGACTAAATTGGGACCGAGGGAGACAAAAAGAAAAAGTGAGATTTATTTTTTACAGATCCAACTAAGTGAAAAATATGAGAACCAATTAGAAATGCATCATTGGACGATCACCCAATCCATCTCCTTAGCTCCTGGACCATTTGCTTTATGCCGTTCTGAGAATCTCTTGCCATAATTGCGGTCTTTTATGTCAGTTTCATCCAATTAAATCCATAAAAGGAAAAAAAATGCAAATATAAAAACAAGTGTCATGAAACCGTTTTGATAGAACAGCCTTTTCTTTCTTTTTCTCTCCTCTGAATATGTATTCATCCTCTTATGTCACTGACCAGAGAAAGAAAGCTTTCAAATCTCCTACATGACGATCATCAGTTATTCTAATGTTCCTCTAGCAGGACACGATTCACCGGCATCTTCACAGTGACTTCTTTTCAGACCCTGTTTGTAGTTAAACAGAACAAAACACTTCCTTTTCGTTTTCTCTGAGTGTGTGTTTACCACTTGCCAAATCAGCGTGGCAATTAGAGGAGTCAGATAAACTCCAGCACAGCGCATTTACATTTTAAGTCTTTGTAAACACTCAGCTCTACTGAAAATGTGCTGTTACACATTTGCCATGGTTGGATGGGATCTTTCACACCTCAGTTGTATTTGTGACAGGCTAAGCGATTTGTAATTGAAGTTTCTGTAATTGCGCCGTTGTAAGGAGGGACATCAAATATTTTAGGTATTGCGGCGTCATATGGACACGGTCCTCCTGAGTTTAAATAAAAAAAGAAATCTGGCTCAGGCCCCTCCTCAGTCGCTCGGTGTATGTAGATAAAATGGGGCTCCACAGATTTCATCACTTGTTGTATTCCGTCACATAATTTGTCTTTCATCATCCCTCCAAACCACAGCTGGAGAACGGCCCCCATGCTCCAGTGTACCAGCTCCTGAACCTCTTTGCCTATGGAACCTACTGCGACTACAAAGGTATTGCAGTGGCAGCACTATGTAAATAAGTTATCGTGCAGGTCTGAAACTCTTTTATTGAGCTGTATTTCTTCTCAGCGAGGCAGGCAACTCAACACAGAGGATTTGAAGACTCACACGAGACACTGCAGGCAGTTTATTAAGAGATACAATTACTGGGGCACTTAAATTTGTTTAGACAGTTTTTTTCTTTTTTTTGCCAAGTGCTGCCACTTTCTGATGATTGTCTGTTTGGCACCGGCACAACTAGACTGTAAACTAATCTTTTGTGGCCTAATTTTGCCTCTGTGTAATGCACCAGTAAGCTTAAAGAAGACGTAGAATGCTAATTGAGTTAAAATGAGTGCTGAATATCAACCAATAGCCTGGAAAAACATTGTATCCCACTTCATTGTTTCCCTCCCACTTGGTTTGCGCTGTCAAGAAGCACATTTACTTTCACAGGGCTGTGTAGTGAAGCCCTTAGAGGAGCTGTCAGAGCTGCTGCCTCAGGGGGATCTGCGTCCTGTCACCAGGGAGGCAAGTCTGAGGGAGGCACGGTCACTGGAGACAGCACTGCTCCCAACTTCCTCCTGATTCTGCTCTTTGACTGCTTAAACAGTTCCACTCGTACATTTCATTGTAATAAGAGGCCCTGGCTGTGTTCCGACTGCTTGGCCCTCAGAAAAGGGACACTTTTCTGACACTGACTCTGCTTCGGCTGCTTTTCCATCGAGCCTCACTCATTTGATCATGTCCTCTGTTGATGTAGAGCGAGTGGCTTCCCTTCCAGAGTTGACCCCAGCACAGAGAAACAAACTCCGTCATCTGTCAATCATCAGCCTGGCTTCCAACCTCAAGGTACACGCTCGTGCTTTGCTCCTCCACTTTGTCCAGAAAAGCTCACGTCAGCCCAGATTTTGTGACTGTTTTCTTTCCCTTTTAAGAAAAGAAGGTAGGTTTCCTGCGGCCCCCCCAGTGCGGCAGGCTTCATAAAGCATGTCCAGATATTAACGATACAAGAACAAGTCTGCCCTTTTATTTTGACTTTCCTGTTTTAGTCTGTCTGATAATCTACATCTTTCAAGTCTACACACAGTCGGCTGTGAACGAATCTGTATTTATGTCGGCTCATTTAAAAAAAAAAACCAACAGGCAAACCTTGTTAAGGAGAAAATGATTGTTCTTATGTTTCATTATATCCTCCTCGTTCATGTGTGTGATAAGGAAGTATGTTAATTTTGAGTCGTTTTTCCTTTGCACTTTGCAGCCACGCTGCACCTCTCCTCATGCCCTTTTCTTTATCTGCTCCCGATGAATAATTGATTCATTATTCACCAACACTGTCCTTTTTTTTTTTTTTTTTTTTAAACTTTGTATCTCTTTCCATTAACATTACTCCTGCTCCCGGTTTTTCTCCTATGTGTCACTGCTTTCTGTGTGTGTGTGCTTGAACTCTCTAATTGCCCAGTGGTGGATTGTTGCGTTTCAGACTTCTTTCATCCTACTCTGGCAGTGACATTTAGACAAATGAGCATTTTTTCACTGTAACATTTTTAGCCATTTTCATTTAAATTTGAAGCATAATCAAATTTGCTACCTGTTTACCCCGAAAAGGAAGCCGAGACGAGGATGTAAGTGACTTCATGTAATTAGTTTTTCTCTCCACCTCAGTGCCTGCCGTACTCGCTCCTCCTGCAGCAGCTTGAGCTGAAGAACGTGCGGGAACTGGAGGACCTGTTGATCGAGGCTGTTTACTGCGATATCATCCAGGGAAAACTGGATCAGAGGAACCAGCAGGTGGAGGTAGACTGCAGCGTGGGTCGTGACCTCGGCCCCAATGAGCTCCCGAACATAATCAACACGCTGCAGGAGTGGTCCGTATCCTCTATAAGTACATGTGCCCACACTGGAGAGTTACCTTTCAGTTTTCTGTTTTATAACTCCCCCCCCCCCCCCTCTGCCGGCGCTCTCCTCTCCTCAGGTGTACAGGCTGTGAGGCAGTGCTGTGTGGTATTGAGGAGCAGGTCTCCCGGGCGAACCAATACAGAGAGAGCCAGTTAAAGGTCAAAGTCCAGGTGGAAACAGAGGCAAGTCCATCCTCCCTTCCGCCCACAGCTCTATCGCTCTCACCAGAAAACTCTGTAAATGTCTCTCCTCCCCAGCTTCGTTGTTTTGTTTCCCCTCCAGGCTGCCTTTGGTATTTTAGTTTCCTCTTGACTACATATTTTCTTTTTTTCCCCATGTGCTGCTTGAATCTTTCTGTTTGCCTAAAGTTGCTGTAAGACGTCTTTCTCATGCACCTCCTGTAAAAGTGATGGCACCAAGCTACATTTTTCTGCATCTCTGAGGTGGTGGTGATGTCTGTATATCTCTTATGGATACAGAAAACCACACTTACTGCCTTCTTAACTTTCCTGTCCTTTTCTGGCTGTTCTTGTTTGATGTTGTTCTGTTTTGCCAGCGGCGGCTGAACAGCTCGTACAGAGTGGCTGGCTGCTGCACGTTAGACCTCAATCAACAATGTTTGTTTGTTTTTTTGTTTCTCCAAGTCAAGATTGTAAAGTCTCTTCATTTTCGCACCAGGTTTCGAACCTTCAGAAAACGTTAAAGGCCAGTGCTGCCTCTCCGTCTTCAGGCCCCGCCCCTGCCGGAGCCGCCTCCAATCAGGACGCAGATCAGCCAGCAGAGCCTCGAGACCCCGCCTCTTCTCAGGAACCAAGACAACCAGGCAAAAAAAGTTCCAAGGTGAAAGGGTGAGTAGCGTCACATGTCCTTGATGTGGTGTTTTTGTGAAGAGCGAGTGAAGAGCTGTGGGCCAGTTGGCTTCCACAGCTTTTTAGACAGAAAGCTCCACTGGGAGTTTGTCAAATTTACATGAAAGTTACAGTGTTTCAAAAAATTTTGTGACATGTCTTTATTCACAGTTCATCAGAGTTGTTGTTCACTATTAACAGTCACTAGAATGGACCTAAAAACTACAGATAAAGCAAAGTTAATATATTAATCTCCCTCTCTGAACATAATGTTACAACCATTACACTATAACCATGAATACCTTTTTATACTCTTAAATTAAAGCCATTTGTGCCGCTCTCTTGCAGAGAGCAGAAGTTAATTCCACAGAGAACGCTTAGAAAGTGAGCTGCTACAACCCTCGCAGTAAATCTTTCTGTGTTCTTCCGGCCCGACAGCTAATTTCATATATTTCCTGAATTATAAAATGTCACTGGATATATAAATGTCCTGCATCCTAGCCTCCTGAAAGAACCGTTCCCCCCTCCAGTGATCAGTCAAAATGTTTAACTGCTGCGTTTCATGTTGTTCCTGCTGAACAGAAATCTCTGATTATTTTCTGGCTGCCTGTCACATGTTGATGAAGCACAGAGCCCCATAATTTCATCACTGAGCACTGCGCTTCATTCAAATAAAGATCCACTCAATGTTTTAAATTCCAAATTAATGATAGCTTAACCTCAATCCCCAAATTAAAATGAGTTTTGACACTATTTCTGTATAAGGCTATTTAAAGGATGAGACTGATAATGCAGCAATTCTAATTAGAAACTGTTTCTTTGCCTAAAATCATATTAATTTGCCGAAATAAAAGAACCCACTCAAATCAGAGCCAGTGCACATACATTTAAATATTAATGGTGATTATTTAAACAAAGACACTTTTGCATACAGGTTGCATCAGTAATGTGTTAATTTTTTGCATAAGATCTAACAGAAAGTAAGCACAAATTTATTCAGACAGGTCTCAAGCCCAGTGCCAAATCAGTGTGTTTTATCAACTGTGCCCCATCCAGGCTGCGCGGCAGTGGGAAGATCTGGTCCAAGTCCAACTGAGGACAAGACCGGAGATGTGGAGACGGCAGCACTGATGGACACTTGCTAATTAAAGGACACCTTGACGGACAGATGAATACATTAAACGATGTGACCACCTCTGATGGATACCTTTCTCTCACACACGCACACACACACACACACACCGTTTCACAGTTCAACCAGGAAGCTTCTCTGGAACTTTACGGATTCAGAAACACCCGACTGGCTGATTGATCAAACACATGTGACTTTCACTCTCTCCACCGTCAAAAGCTTTACAGGCAGTCTGTGGGTTTAGATACTCGGAGCACTTGTAACTCGTGAGGACAGAGTAGTCTGCAGCAGGAGCCAGTTGCCTTTGACCAGAAAGAGGATCTGTGTATTTGATGCATATGTTTGTGTGTATCTGTTCTTTTGGTTTAGATTAATTCTATGTTGCTTTTTTTTCTTCTTCTTCTTCTTCTTCTTCTCTGCTGAGTTGGGACTTGTACAATATCAGAATATAAATTGTTGGAAAATAAAAGGAAGCCCTGTACTTATCTGGACTGGCTTATTAATGTCACTGTCACTTCTTTTATTAAACGCGCTTCAAAGTGCATCTCTGGAGGGTGCACTGCTAAATGTTAACTCACAGAAGGGGGCTACCCGTTAGGAGGTCAAGTCATTAATTAGGGCATGTCCCGAAAGAGATTAATGTATTATAGAGTTGAGGCTTCCTGTGTGCATTCCCACAGTGGGTAGACATGCACACACGCATGCATATCAGGGGCATTCATGTTTCATATGCGCATGTTTTGCCCAGAGCTGCTTCTTTCCAAGTCAGAATGCTCCGCCGCTCTTTTTCACTCCTCAGACTTTCCTCTGAATCTTCACGCTGGTGTCATTAATAGTGTCCATTAGCTGACCGGCAGCACTGGTGGCGGGCAAGCAGAGGAGCAAATGATCCCGCTTGATTTAACTCTTGCCACTTTCCCAACCCTCCCGCTCTCCAGCGCCGCTCCTCACCTCTATAAATAAATAGCGGTGTTAATTTCAGTCGGTGTGACTGAGCCTCATTGCCTCACGTATTTTGCAAGATTGGATGTGGGAATTCTAACAGCTGTGCACCTCTTAAGGTGAAAGAAAGATGGCTGGAGCGTCGGCTGCGTCACCAGCGGGTGCAGCTCGGAGTTGCTGCCTAACTTCTGAATCATTTGTTTGTCGGCCGTGGTTACAGATTGCTGCAGCATCCGCTGGCACGCGTCTTGTACAGCCATTAAAACTTTGAAGCGGAACCCGGCCAATCGATTACTCTGATTGATCAGTAAAAGGCCCAGGGGAGATGGAAACTTGAGCCGCACAGCAGACGGGTGGAGACTCTTGAAAACACATCATTTTCCGGCCGGTGCCCGCCTTGATTTTATTGAAATTTGTTTGAAAAACTGCACGGGAGAAATTCCTGCTTAGCATCCTGTTATCTTTTTAAAGCAAAAGGAATCCGTATGAGGTGTGGAGATAAGGGAAAGCTTCAGACTCAAGCAGCCACTATTCTTCCCTCTTTTTTCTCAGCTGCTCCTGAGCCGTAAAAACATGATTGGCACGTGGGGGACTTTTTAATGCCAGGTCCGTGGTTCAAAATCAATGCAACGCACTGGACTAAATGTTCACTTCGGGGAGAGAAAGATTAGGATACAGGGGTAGCTATTAAAATGCACAATGTAAGCTTTATCCTTCCCATAAAGCATTGCGGATTGCAGCGCTCCCAGGGGAATTCATTCAGCATGCCCTGAAATAAACAGATAGACACAAAGCTAAAACGCCAGTGTTGAGTCTTTATTGAAGTTCCATGGTACAGAAAGACCACATTTCTACAGGAAAGCTACGAAAAATCACAAGACTGGATATCTGGAGGATTGCACGAGCTACCATGTCGCCACCAGCACAATGTCTGTAGTGGAAATGGGTGGAAATGAGGGGGGGGGGGGTCCATACCTCAAAGCTGCTTAGAAAAGTTACTGAAAACAAACTGATGTTTGGCTTTAAAAGGTTCTGTAAGACACCACTTACGGATAGATAAAATAGATATTTTATAAATATTTGATTTGAAGCAACTCTCAGAGGATTTCTTACTGTATACATGCCGATTCATGGGGGTGCTGATCTGATGCTTCTCTATGCTCTACTTTCCTTTGGTGCACCGAGACAGCTGATAATGATACAAAGGGAAAGGATGGTGGTTTCTTCCAGACTGAGGCACAAAGCTAACAGGTTCAGAAGTAAAAAAAAAAAGAAAAAAAAGAAAAAAGAATGCAGCAGCAATCAGTCCCTTGATCGCATCTGGAGTTCACCAATACTCATTTCCATGACAACATGAATCTGTCTTTTGTATGATCCAAACCTTTGGGAAAAATGGATTTTCAACCCAATGGGTGCTCTGTTCTGGGTATCTTATCTCCACCAGAAGAAGTACTCTACGTTTATCACACCTCTACAAAGTCCAGCAGGAACAAAGCGTGCTCAAAAAAGATTTGACGAAAACATGAACGTCAGCCAGATAATTAAGCGAACAAATCATGAGGAAAAACTGAAACAAAACCGACTCCTTTACATCTGTAGAGGGAAAGAGCCACGCTATTTGCATTCCGGGCGCCCAAAGCAGAGAATAAACAGCAGTTTTTGGAGCGTGACATGGTAAACACATTGCCTGTTGGCTACAGCTGTGATAAACAGCTTTGTGAAACACCCCGTTTAGGGTTTGGTGATGCCGAGCTCGGCTTTTTAACCGTTTACGAGCTTGCAAAACCCCAAATAAACCCAAATTGATTTTTAGTGATGTACTATAAAAAAAAAAATAGTCAGCTGGATTAGCCTTGATGCGGAGCAGCTGAGTCATAGGTTGTGGAAGCACAGGTAGGGCACCTCAGGGGTAATGGGATGTTGCATGGCTGTTTAACTGCTTGTTTGTGAATTAGTCATGGTGGGCTGAAGCACAGAGCCGCTGGGCTGCTTGGCAGAGCTCGGGGCTACAAATATGACTGAAAACAGGGAACAAGTCACAGTGATGCACATGATAGAGATTTCCACCGAGCACAAGGAAGGAAGGAGGGAGCGAGCAGCTGAGCGATGGGTTCGGGTTGTTTCTTTTCTCAGACCTCAGGGAAGCCGAGGATCTTTGCGATGGCTGGATACCTGGGATCCCTGAACTTGTTTCACAGCTTGAGAGAAAATAAAACAGCACTGCAGGCACCCCTTCTGGTCCTGTTGATGTGTCTCCTCACGCCCCGAAGAAATGTTTAACATATGGAGGAGCAGCCACCTCACAGGTTCACAACTGGGATCCTGACACAGCCAGAGAGACAGAGAAGAAGAAGAAGACTGAGAGAGAGGAGAACAGGGTTTCGGGGGGGTTCAGCAGCTCTGATCATGGGAGAAAAGAGACTTAGTGGAGACAAATGGCCTGAAGCCCGTGGGGTGGTGGGGATGCAAACGGAAAGCTGCATCCCGGGGGGGGGGGGGGGCAGTGGGGAGAAGCAATGGAGGAAAAGCTGATGGGGTGTAGGAAGTGAGAAAGAGCACTGAAATGAAGCTCTATAATTATCCTGATTGAGATTATCTCTAAATGCCCTTGAATAAAAAGTATAATTTCATGGATGTGTTAGGTGTCTTCTCATAGGCCCACAGTGACTCATCTGGAGAGGGGGTTTAAAACACTGATACATCTTACAGCCGTATCAACACTCCGGGCCTGAATACTCTACAGAGAATAGCACTACAGCCCAATTAGACTCCATGCACATCCTCTCAGCACATGCAAAGAGGTAATAAGGCTGCTCACGCACACAAGGAAGCAAACGTGAATCCAGAGGTGGCCAGAAGCCCACACATGCACTTTCAACGCGCGGACTCAGAAACACAATCACAGGCTGTGCAGAGCTGTTGAGGCGACTCATTACCTCTCCCTGTCGGTGAAGGAGGAGGAGGTGCTGTGCAGCGTCTGCCTGCTATCCTCCGAAGCAAGGGAACGAGGGAGTGCAAGGGAGAGGGGGGGGGCCACGCCACGGGAAAGCGGGGGTGGATGCTGGGAACAGCTGCGATCGTAACTGGGGAAAAGAGAGGAGCGATAAGGACAGAGTGGAAGACGGAAACAAGGGGGTTTGGTGGAAGAAAAAGAAAAGAAGCAGAAGATTAAGGGTGAAAGAAAAAGAGAAGGTGCAAAAGGAGATTTGACAAAAGAAAAGTTGGAGTCGGAGTGAGATGTGGCAACGAAAGGAGATTAGAGACGGAGAGGTTAAAATGTGGGGGTGCGCGCGAGAGAAAAGATAAGTAAAAGGAGCAGAAGAAAGGAAGGTGGAGATGAAGAGACAGAGTCAGAGAGCACGAGGAACAGTCGAGCCATTTAGCATCAGCGAGCACATTACCCTGCCACTGTGAAAAGAGAATTAGTGCACACATCGAACTCATTAAAACACTGTCAGAGGGGGTGGAGGAGGGAGGGCGAGAAATGGAGAGGGAGACGGGGCTGTGGGATGGGGGGGGGAGGGGGTCGGAGGGAAGGCAACAAGGTGAGGAAACGGATAGAGAAATTGAAGTATCATTGAGTCGCTGTGCCATTACTTCTCCAATAGTGAGCTACTGTGAAGACACACTGGAGCATCGCATTTTCAGGCTCTTAAGGACACTTTGATGCACAACAAAGCTGTTCTCACAGCCATAAAAGCCATCTACACCCACATCTTTCCTCAGTAACACCTGTCCTCTCCTGGCTCACCCCCTCTCTAACCACATACACACATGATCACACACAAAGACTGTCACACTTGATGACATTATCCACTCTGACAAATTTTAGGGCCGGGAAAAACCACGAAGCACATATGCTGCTCTTCTATAATCATAATGAACTGGACTTTAGCCAATTTCCACTATAGGCTATCATTTCAGTCCATCTGTACCCTCTCCCATTTATTCCACCGCACTTTTCTCCAACACATGGCGTTATTTACACATTTATGACACTGAAGCAGCCAATCTATAGAGAGGGCCCAGCTCCTGTGTCCAAACCCTTGCAATTCCCTCTGTTGTAACGCCGCTTTAGATCCCACGGCAGCGTGGGTTTTTCCCTCCACTGCACCGCAGGGGCCGGCGAAAGGAACTTCTCAAGACAACAGCGAAGGCCAGACTCGGGAACAGAGAGAAAAGGGGACTTATCGTGTATCAGCTCAACACGAGCTGGAGGATTATCTGTGGATCTGCAGCCTGACTGGTGGTGCCGGAAGATAGGAGACCGGTGAGGGAGATAAGAGGAGTGCCGGCTGGGCAGAGACAGCCAGCGTCTAAGTAAGAGGAGGGAACACATGTATCTGAGACAAATCCCCGAGAGGTGGAAGGAGACAGAGGAGTGGGAGAGCAAAAATAAGATTAAGAGAGTATGCAAAAGGGATGTGAAGGGAGAACAAGTTATCATGCAATATAATGAAAAAAAAATTAGAATAGACACCGGACACCGGAGCAAGACGGACAGATTAGAAAATAATAGAGAGGAGAAAAGGATAAAAGTGAAAATGTGGGAAGAGGGCGTGAGGCGAGGGAGGAGAGGCTCCCAGTGGTCACATAAAGTGGCGGTTATTGGCCTGACCAGCAAAGTGTGTGAGTGGTTCACTGCATCACACAGATGACTGCCCCTTTTCCAGCTAATAGCCGCACACGTGTGCAAAAGGCACAAAACAACAACATATACAGAAGCCGGAACCTCCAACCTGCGTTCAGCGTGGTGCTGACATGCACTCAGAGGGTTATTGGCAGATGGGCCATTAAAGCACACTCTGGTGAAGCCATGCTAATGCTCAAGCTCGTAAAGCAGCCTATCGCAGCGGTTTTTGCTCGTCTCTGCCATCCTAATGGTTATGGCACATGTTTAATCATTGCAACGCTAATGGCTCCAAATGACACATCTGTGCCAACTCTGACTTTCAGGAGCACAAGTGTTGTTAATAAAGTCATCAGTAAGTAATTACTCAGCTTTTATTTGAGTGGGGGGGGGGGGGGACCAGGACCAACTATTGCATAACTACTGGTGACAGATACAAAAACACAACATGTAACTACTGTCCTCTGTGAAAGCCACACATCTCATTCATCTATGCATGAGGCATCTATTCGCTTAAGGCCAAAAAGGAAAATAACATTATCTATGGGGAAATTATCTTGCGTCTTAAATCTTTTCGCCAAACTCGGCTGATCCAACAAAAAAAAACATTTCTCAGTTGTCGAAAACGTAGCTTCCTTTTCTTTTTTTTTTTACTCCTACTTATGATAAGTGAGTAAAGCCTGATTAGAGCATTTAAATAATTTTAGTATTAATGAAGTGCAATTATCCGGTAATTAACCAGATAAAAGCTAAGAAAAAGTAACCCCATTTTAAGTGGAACAGTTATGTTTTATTCATCTCCTAACTCCTCGTGTTTGCGTTCTATCTCCTTAGTTGGGTCCTTATTCCCGCTTTGGGAGCCAGGCAGCACAACGGCTGACCTCAACATATCCTTATTTTAATGGGAATTGTCATCATTATCAGGGAGTCGACACAATAGTTTCATTTCAGGATCCCGGTTTTAAGGCTCCACAAATCCACAGCGCTGCCATATTAATGGAGACATTTAGCACTAATCCTCACACTGCTCATGGTGTGTTTTGACACGAACCTTTTACCGCGCACACGGTGGAGTTTTAGTCAGGAGCAACAGTGAGCGCTGTCCAGCTGTGGGTCAAGTGTCCAGCCCTCACAGGGGGAGTCTATCGGTCATCCTCTGTTACTGGGCATTGGCCAACTTGCACTCACACACACATTTTGAAGAGGAGAGTTTCGGTTCCTACCAAAGTTTTGCTGTGATGATGACTGCTGTGAGGATGAGCAGCGAGGAGATGGTCACGGTGACGTAGAACTGAGGGTCCACTGTAACACACAAACACACACACAGGCCCAGGCAGTTACCAGTTGCGGACCAAAATCAGCCGGGGTCAGTCTTGTGCAAGAATCTGGCCTTCAAAATCTAACAATGATCCTCTGATATCGTCTCTGTATTTTTGCAGGTTCTGAGAACAACCAATAAGTCCCTGTGAGTGATGAGAACTTTATTAGGCATTCCCACCACAGACACGGCCAGCTGCACACAGCGGGATGGCAGCCTTCACCCCATTGACAGCTAATTCCCCGGAGGACTCCCGGTGCGCGTGTGGGCTCACATGCACGTCGAGTCAAGGCCACCTTTATTTAGAAATCCTTCAAGTGCATCTCCCGGTGCCCACCTTCCTCGGGCTCCGTTTCCTCCGCCTCCATCCCTCCGTCCTCCAGTCCCTCCCGGTCCCTGGACTCCAGCGGTGTGTTTTCTCGCGGATGGACGCTGGGGTCAGGGTAAAGCCAGTCCTCGGGCGTGGCGGAGCTCGCCTCCTGCTGGTTTCCGTGCATGTGCAGGTGGTCAGTTTCTTGGCTGGGGAGGAAGTGGTAGGTCTCATCCTCCAGTGGCTGCGTGGGACCCCACACCACCGCCCACAGAGGGGTGGGTGTGACCTGGGCCGTGACGGACAGCTGGACGGACAGGGTGTCCGCCTGCTCCTTGCCCTCCCCGTCATCGCGGTTACAGGTGGAGGGCTGTGTCAACGGACCGACCAGGAGGAGGGAGAGGATAGCTGCGAGTCGTGCGACAGGAGAGATGAAGCTGGAAGTTAAAGTGGAGGAGAAAGAATGAGAGGCGGTGGAGTGATCGAGGAGTTATCATAGAAAAGTCATTGCCCACAGGCGCCCTGCTCAACCTCAGCGGCTCACTCAGACATTGATTCGCATGCCAGCCATCAATCAGAATGACATTTTACGCATCTGCAACCCATACTCACAAACTCTCCTTCTTACCATCTCTCCATCGCTTCGCTCTGTTCACTGAGACCCTTCTTCTCCGATCATCTCTGTAAGATAAGACAGGAGGGCAAGAGAACGAGATGGAAAGAGAGGAAGCGGGGGGGGGAGTGTCCTCGTTCTTTTTTTCTTTTTAATCTCTTTTGGCAGATTAAAACCATGTAAACATAGAAACCAGCGTGACCGTGGCACAGAGCCAACTCTGTCACCTTTTTCAGAGGAAAAAAAATCCCCCTGGGCATCCAAATTTAACACTCCATTGTGTGCCACATGTTTGTGGAAAATCCACATCTGCATGCAAAAAATATTCCAGAAGTACACACTCCTTATCGGCACAGTTGTTTCACACATTTACAGCGCACGCACCTGAGCCCAGCACATTAATCATCATCAGAAGCATCATGCATGGAGTCGGTACTCTGCGTGGCACTTTAGGCAGAGAGAGGTAACTTCCTATCAACAACTACTGCCTAAATGCCACGGAAATGCCACTCAGGGACGCACGAGCACACCGGGAGACGGACACAAGCGCTCCGACACATATCAGTTATCATGCTTACCTCTGGCAGTGGAGAGAGGGAATGAGGGAGGGAGACAGAGAGAAAGGGGGGAGATATAGAAAGTAAGAGAGGGAAAAAAAAGCATTGGTTGCCTTAGCGACTGAGACATGTCGAGTCGGGTAGAGTGCGAAAGGGGAGAGAGAATGATGTAGGGGAGGGCCACGGACTGTAGGAAAGAGATTTAAATGCTAATTATGTTTTCTTTCTTTTTTTTTTTTCAAAGGGGTTCAATTAAACGGACACAGACGAAGAGAAATGAATTTCACACGGCAAACAGAAATGTTACTGGGGAAGACATTAATAAGATCATTTTGGAGGCGAGAGGTTAAGAAAAAAACTCTTCAATGATGTTTACAAAAGCAGAATGGATACCCCAGAGAAAGACTGCAAAGAGCAGGGGAAAGGGACGAGGGGAAAAAAGATGGATCCAAATTCCATCAGCATTCATTTCCACAGACAGAGGGGCGACGAGCCGGCACACCGAGAGGAGGCAGGTCACAGGCAAATAAAAAAAAAAACAGACAATAGAAGATGCAAATTTGGAGGTGAGAGCCAATGTGACAGCTTTATTGCATGTGGAAATATTTACATGGAAAACAATCTGCCTATCACACACGCACACACACACACACACACATACACATACACACACTCTCCTCATCCATATGCTCTCACTCCCACTCTAACAGCATGTCACTCCTCTCCCCCTGCTCCCTCCTTTGCCATCGTCACCCTCCCACCCTCTCATTTCCTCCCGGTGGCTGCGGGCCGCGGTGTCCCCGGCAGGAGGGGCCGCCCGCCGCTCACTGGAGGACGCAGCGCGGCCACCAACCAGTCCCCGCGTCCCCGCCACCGCCAGGCCGGCTGTCGTCTCCTTTATCGTCAGCATCATCCTCGTAATCTATAATTGACAAGGGGTCCTTTAGGATTTGTCAGGACACGCATCATCTAAAATTAACACGGGGCTGTTAATTTCGGCGGCGCTGTGGCTGCTAATGAAATGTGTGCGTGGATAAATGGACGTGTGATGGCATGTGTGACTGTACCATCCGTTTCCTCGTCATCCTCCGAGTCCCCCTCCGACTCCAGCAAGCCCGAGTCCATTCGACTGTCTCTCCTCACTGTGACGTCACCCCTGTAATATTTAGACTGGCAATTAATTCAACAGTCAATACAATCCGTTAATCCCACTCAAACACGCTGGGTTCCGGAATCGAGCGCGGCTGACCTCGGGCAGAGTTAATGAATAGTCAAATAAGACCTATGCTCTTTAAGTCAGTGGTGTGGATCTCTGTGCCCACCTCTGCTTGCCAGAACTGGAGAGCTGCTCCCACACGATGAGCTCTCGACCTCCGGTGACCCATCGGTGGTCTCCACTGCCGGTGGTCCAAGAAGCAAAGCAAAGAATTCTGGGAGCATTTGGCCAACTTATGGAGACCAGATACTGACACTGAGGCAGGGAGAACACTGGAGAGGGGAGAGAGAGTGAGTAAAGGATGGGAGGTCGACGGAAGAACACAAAGAGCTTTTGATTTAGCTGATTGTCACACCCTCCCAGAGGAGAGGGGAATGTCTGCTTGTAAATTTCTTGGTGACTCACAATTAAGCGCGCTCTCTCCGTTCGCCAGGTCATAGCTGGAACCAATTAAGAGCCCTCCTGTCTGGTGAACACAATCTGTTACCCCGGTGATGCTGCCGTGATTGGTCAGCCTGGACATCATTCCTGTCATAATTGGACAGGTGTTAGCTGGAAGGATTATGCAGGTTTCTCTGGATCCGTGTCCATCTCATTACGCCGTTCACCTGTCCTCCAGTGGAGGATCTTGAGCCAAGCCCGACCGTAAGCCAGGAACACTCGGTCTCCACGGGGGCTGAGGGTCAGCCGCCCGCCCGGCGCCCCGCCCAGACCGGTCACCTGGCCGCTCCAGTGGTGCAGCAGCCTCAGGGGGTCTCGATCGGAACAGTGGTTTTCCCACACCGACACCCCTCCCTCAGCCGAGCCGCTGAACACCAGCGGACCCTGAGACTGTGGCGGCCATGAGACACACAGTTGTCATGGTGATTTGAGTCTTTACCCACACATGTGTGGGGGAATGAGAAGAGCATATATGTTTATGCAAAAAGGAACTAAGTGTGTGAATAGTTTGTGGATGTTTCTGTGCTGCTGCTGGCTATAAATGGATTGTGTTCCTTGCATGATAAACAAGAAAGACGATGACAATGAAGCGCTACGCTTTAATGCTTTAGGCGTATTATGATGATTACAAATTGAAAAAAAATGTGTGCATATGAAGCTCTGGGTTTCAACATTCATAAAAGCCTTTTTTGCTCAAAATACGTACTCTATGGTCTAAAATTGGAACAGCTTACATCTCAACAAATATCTTTGATTTCTATGTGAAAGCAATAAATAGGGAAAGCTAGCGTGAGGATGAAAGTAAAGTACATCCATTTGATTCCTCAGGAAAAGGTTTTTTCTTAAATCTCTAATGAAGAGTTCTCAAACTACCCCAGAGAGCTTCCAAGGAAGGTTTTGTTTAGCCTTGATGTCGGAAACAGCCTGAGAAAGAAAACAGCTCTTGGCGAGGAGAGCGCGTGGGGGTCAGCGGGTGTGAGTGACCCACGCACCTGGATGGAGGTCACCGCCTCCTGGTGAGCGTTGACTGACTGGCAGTTCTGGAAAGTGCGCCAGCTCCAGGTCTGAACCTTCCCCCCGTCTGCAGAGTGGCTGAGCGTGAGGTTAATGCGCAATGACAGACATCTGGCAGTCAATAGAGTTGGTCACAAATGACCCACCTGAGCCTGGCTGCTGAGGCAAACAGCGCTACGCTACTCTAACTCACTGGCGGGTGCAGACACAGTGTCAGACTTGGCATATATCAGTAAAAACATAAACGTGCGGCGGGATGAAATACTGCTCACACACTCACTCACTCTCACACACACACACAAACACACAGAGACAGACAGGAGATACAGATCTGATGTGATACAATAACTCCTGGGTGCAATTATTTTGTTCTTCGTCTCCCTCACACAAACACACACCTGATCCGGTGATGATGTAGCCGTCCACCTCTGGCACGAAGCACAGCGCGGTCACAGCGTTGAAGGTGTAGATGGACTTAACACACTGCCCTGAAGCCGACAGCAAAATACTAATTCAACCGACCGAGTGCAGGGCACCGGTCACACAGGCGTTCGCTCATTACAATGAGCACACAGTTCCCAGACAGAACCTCGGGACTCCGCACACTTTAATACGCACTCGTGCTCAGTATGCATATCTGCGTGTCTGTGTGGTGAGCTTACCAATGCTCAGGGCCCAGATCTTCACGTAACCGTCTGCAGAGCTGCTCAAAATAAACCTCTCTTTGTCGGATATAGACAGGGTCCAGGCTGGTGAGAGGGCAGACACAGACAAAACAAGGGGGCAGACGCAAAGGGGGAGGAGGACGGAGGGGAGGGAGGGGGGGAAAACAGACAGGTAGATCGGAATTAGCGATGACGCACGAGTAGCTAAAACAGACAGAAAGAGGCAAAGCGAGAATTCACAGGACGCCAAAAGAAAGAGCAAATAATTAATTGATTAAGTGAAAGTGACTGCTTTGTGACGGAGCAGCATCACTAAGGCGCCTTACTGCCAGGCAGGGGGTAAGGGGGGGGGGGGGGGGAGGTGTTGGGGGAGTGTGGGAGCAGAGCATGTAAGTCAAATGATGGAGGGCCGCCTGCCTCAGACAGACAGCGAACCCTCTGAAGTGTCTGCGGAGGTTATTTCTCACGGGGGCTGATCTGATGAACTGCTCCTATAATTACCAGGCCCCGGGCCAGCGGCACCGCTCGCTCGGCCTGTGTGTGTGCGTGCGAGTCCTCACCCAGCCTCCTGCAGTACTCAGGGGGAGGCGCAGACAGACAGGTGACTCCGCCCGTGTGACCCCCCAGGTTCTTCAGCTCCGTCGCCGTGGGAACGTGCCACACCTTCACCGTGGTGTCCCGGCTTGGGCGGACGCAGAGAAGAGGAGACGACACGGAGAGAGAGAGAGAGAGAGAGCGGATCGGCGGAATTAGCGCGAGAAGGCGGCGGAAAACGGGCAAAGTTAAAAGCCGTTCAGCATAAAACCCCCAGAGATTTGCGCGGGGGAAGGAAAGCAAATACATGTCAGACAGCGAGAGAGCCTATTAGGCGATAAATTAGGGAGAATGTTCACTTTGCGCATCCATTATGCAAATTCTCTACCGCTTTACCTTCCAGAGACCACCAGGTTGTCAACAGCAACCACGCTGGTGACTATGTCGTTGTGACCCTCCAGCAGCCTCAGGCGAAACCGAGCCTTCTCCCAAGACGCTTTGAGGGATGTAAACTCAGCTTCTGTAAAAGGAATGATTCGTGCAATTAGCGCTGTTGACTCATCAGCACCCCGGCTTGTTAATCTACTTGATTCTGCAATATGGATTAGTGTGCTGTTGCAAAGCGTGCAGCTAAATTGGCTCCACGGATGCTAAATGTGGGCTCTGACTGCAGGGAGGCAAATGCAGCCTGTTGGTTTAAACCCCAGCAGCCACATGATCTTGTTAGGGCGCCTGAAGGCACGTGCACGTTATCTGATCGCAGGTGTTAATTGCAATTTCGGCTGAGTGCGATAAAGACTTCTTTTTTAATGGGCCCACCTTTCTGGTGCAGTTGCTGCTCTGTGTCAGAGCCTGGACGGTCTGCTGGGATGTCTGGGCTGGGATGCGACCCGTCTGTCCCCCCCTGCGGTCCCACGGTGTCCCCCCCTCCTGCCTCCCTCTGCCGGGCTTTGGACTGGTTTTCTTCCTTTAGGATCTTGGAGGCTGGAGGTGTCTGTGATGGAAGGGCCTCCGGGGAATCCTCCCTGTGCCAGAGCAGAAAGCAGGAGCTGAATGATAGATCCAGATGCACATGGCGACAACAAATCTCCAAGGCCCAGTTTGAATGAAAACACTAATTCCGCAAGAACTCTTCATCTATAGCTGAGATAAAGTAAAGGTAAATAAGTTAGCAAACTTTCCCCTAATTGCTTAAAGTGGTCTTGATTGGGGTGGCACGGTGGTGTGGTGGTTAGCACCGTCGCCTCCCAGCAAGAAGGTTCTGGGTTCAAGTCCCGGGGGAACCAGGACCTTTCTGGGTGGAGTTTGCATGTTCTCCCTGTGTCTGCGTGGGTTCTCTCCGGGTACTCCGGCTTCCTCCCACAGTCCAAAAACCTGCATGTTAGGTTGATTGGTGATTGGGGAAATTGCCCTTAGGAGTGAATGTGAGTGTGAGTGGTTGTTTTTCCTTGTATGTCTTGTGTGTGGCCCTGCGATGGACTGGCGGACTGTCCAGGGTGTACCCTGCCTCTCGCCCGTTGACCACTGGGATAGGCTCCAGTTCCCCCCGCGACCCCAACAGGGAATAAGCGGTATTGATAATGGATGGATGAATGGATGGATGGTCTTGATTGATCAATTTCCCGGCTTCCAACACGTCTTTCGGTTTTTCTCATCCCACTGGATGTTTTTTCACTCAATTTCAATCCATTGTTTTTATCAGATCATTTCATAATGAAGGCTGTTTTTGTGTTATTTAAGCAACTTAACTGATCTGTGGTTCATTCAAGTGACCAGTGAACACATACATCACAGCTTAGCTAAAGAAACCCTGACTTTTCAGGCATGTATTATTAAATGTACCTCCCTGTTTCTTTACTTGCATCTGTAAAGAGTTCAAAGATGATGAAAAGGGGAAAGATTGAGAAAAATAATAATTTTGCACCAACATGGCGATTCCCCAAATGGAAGTCGGCAGAAATCTTTCTAGTTTTAGAGAACTGCCCAAGTGGGGGAGAAGAGAACAAACAGCAGAACTGAATAAAACGGCTCCAAATCAACAGCAGATGGACAGTTTCTGAAAGACAAAAACTTTAACTGGACCCTCAATTGATCTTGAGCTACTGTTGACTGAAGCCTCAACAGAAATGGTTTCCCTGGAAGGGTGGCAGTCAGGGGGCCATTGTTAAGGAAACACAACGGGGAGAAGAAGTTCTGATGGGGGAATGAATCTTCCCGAGAACCTGGATGTTGACATAACCAAAGCAGTGTGGGAACAAAAGGGAACTTACATTTACAGAAGAGTTTTGGGACATCCTTCAAGAAGAATGGAGAACCATACCAAATATTCATACCACATATTGCCTTTCAGTGTATAAACTCTGTTTTCCTGGTGTACTGTATTCACACAAACGTGTTCTTAGTGTTTAAATGAACTGCTGAACCTGTTCCATGTTTCCAAGGCCGTGTATAACAAACAGAGGGCTGGTTTATGGCTAGGAAATAGTCTTTCAGGGCCTGGAGGGTGAGATTACCGACAGATGTTTACAGGAGACATTATGACGATGGGAAAGTTCCCATTTCTTAAAGCGCATCTGTGTTTGACCTGTAGTGTGTTTGGATAAAAAAAGATCTAAGGCTTCAAAGTGAATGTTGTTGCTTTTGAAGAATTATGCCTCTCTCCATATGCCCCCCCCCCCTTGTGGTACCTCTCCATCACTTCCTTACACTTGTCTTTTCATCTTCTCCTTTTTCCCGTCTCCCACAATCCCAGGAGTTCGCTGCGGGCCAGAAAGCTGCAGCTGAATCTCAGCCAATCTGGAGCGCAGCTCCGCCTTCCTGGAAATCTGACAGGGAAACAGGCACGAGATTGGTTGTGAGGCAGGCGGCTAAATCCACAAGTTGTTTATATGCACAGCCAACATAGCAGGCCTGCCTGGATTTATTAAGCCGCAGCTCCAGAAACGGCCCGCACACTTGTCTGATTGCGAGCTTTGAAATATGCATGACCGAGTAAATTGGATGTCAAGAGTATATCAAGTGTCTGCCTCGGACCGCATCGACTTCACCTGGTTTATCACACGGTGGATGTGCCGGGATCTGCTAACAATTGTCTATCTTTAGAGGCTGTGATGGAGCTGTGATGAAGTTGATTTTATCGGTTGTTTTTTGCACGCGGTTGTTAAAGGGCTTTTAAAAAGGCTGTAGCGTTTAACAAGACATGACACATTTACCAGGCTCAGAGTAAATACCCAGAAGGCCTGCCGGGTTGCATTGTGGGAAATGTGTTTGGCTGAGACGGCACGACAACATCCGCTTCATGTTCACATTTCACTTGAGGAGCCCTGAAAATACTAATAGGTTTGTAGCATCCTACAGAATCCTGCTCCCAACAGTTTTGTAATTACGACTTTGTTTTTCCCAAAGTATTTTCCCCCCTGAGCTAAATTGAATTATTTTCTATTATTTCTACACCCCAGCAGGGTCTCATTTTTCACACAATTGGATTTATTTTTGAGCTAAACATTATAAAACCCTCAGGTTAATTTTTTTACCGAATAGTCGAGGCTGAATATTTTCCAGTAAACGCATTAATTACAAACACACACAAAAAGCAAGTTTCTACCCAAGTGAAGAATCTTAAATGCTCAGAAAGGGACGTCACCACCTTTATTTTTCATTTGGATTATTCTGTGTGATCCCATGTCTCACCTAAAATAGAACCCCACACACCAGCTGTTACATCTGTATAATGAACTGCTTATGTGTTGTACCATTTTTACTTTATGCTGGCTTTTTTGTACACATACACTAAAGGTATACTAGACTAAATTATAACTAAAAGATTTCTTGATGCCCAATTATAAACTTAAAAAAGAGTCAATATCAGCAAAAATCAGTTATTCAGAAGCTTGGTGAAAGCAGATTTGTTGTTTCTAGTGCATAGCTGTGTGGGCCATCCAATTATTATGCGGCTGCTTTGAGATGATCCACACTAATTAATGAGCGCAAAACAAAAGATCAGATTTTCTCTGTTACATTTTTTGTTCTAATACATTGAGCTTTAAATGAACATATAAATATAAAGAAGCGGGGATTCTTCTGTAACTAATGCGAAGTATGGGAATAGAGAAACCAACTGAAGCCATTTATGAGTGAAAGTATGTCAAATTTCATTGAGGATAAATTCATGAGAAAACATTATGCTCCTGCAGAGCAAGAGATTAAATCAATTGGGACAGAAAGAATAAATCAATTGTGGACAATTAGTTATTTCTGTTTAGAAAAACTAATTATTTTTTGTGATTTGGTTAATTATGGTAAAGCTTATTTTAAGGCTTAAAATAAGTACACTTGTTGACCTCATATCGGTAACTTCCACACCAGACTGTGTACATCTTTTTCTCCCTGTTTCTCCCAATTAGGAGTTGCAGGAGTAGTTCGGGAAAGACAAACCCCTGTTGTAGGGTACACTCATTTTCCCCAGCATCCAGATTGTGCCCTTTAACAATCCCAGGCTCTCCTGGAGCTCCTGGTAATTATTTCTCCCTGGTGCGCTCCTTTCTGCGCAGGATCCTCTGATCTGCTGAGATCCGAGGGCAAAAACTGTCAAATTATTCATTGCACCGTTATCATTAATTCATTTTAATCCCTGTCTTTACGAAGCCGACGCTGTTATTTCAAGGATAACAAGCACCGCTTCACACTGTAAGACAGCAACTTCACGATGAGCCAGATCCGTGGCACTGGACAACAGGGGACTTAGATTAACCAACTCTTTATTTATTCAGGCTGAAATTGTCAGCACGTGACCTCCGGTTTTACCGGTGGGAAATCACCGTAGTGCACTGTCCCAAAGCCTCACGCGCAGGTCAGAAGAGAAGCAAAAGGCCGAGGGGGTGTTTCTATACCTTGAACGTCTCCTCTGGGGTGAGGCTGATCTTTATTTCCAGATTTTCAATCTGCCTCAGCTTCTTCTGCAGCTTCCTCGCCTCCCCCATTTGGAGCCCCGGCGCCGGTTCACCGCCTTTAAAAAAGCGGTGTTCGTGTGTTCACTGCGCACCACGGGTGGCATGAATAGAAACCAATGTGAGACTTAAATTCATACGCGAATGAGGGATGTTTTCGGCCGAAACTGGCGGTGTGTTGGGACGACGTGTCGCCGGATGTTGACGACACGCTGAAAGCGCATAGCTGTCCTTACAGCGACACCGTGTGGGCAGTTCTGGAAGTCCCTCTGAAATAAACAGAAACAGCACCAACCGCCGCTGGCGTTGTTTGTGTGTCGTTTCGGGATATTGACATGTCCGGACTGCTTGCGGGGAGGTTTTTAACGTGTGACGGTGTTAATTAACAGTCCAGGAAACTCAAAGGCCGTCTAACGAAAAAGTGAATGTTTGCGAGAATCTGATTAAGCTCGCGGGAGCGCGCACCGCAGCTGCTGAGCGATACCGTAAACTTGCTTTTCTCTGGATTAAACGGTCATGACATGCAGATACACACAGTTGCATTATAATATAGGCCTTATTAAATTATAATATAGGCCTAATTAAAGATTCGAAAGCTTAACGTTTGTCACATAACGGCAGTTACGTGACAGACATGTTTCTATACTCGGTCTGATGACTTTGTGTAGCCCTGACATTGGAGACTACACTACAATAAATATGATTCACTGGAGGGTTTTCGATAAAGATATGATAACTTTTGCAACGATCCTCGTGACTCTGCATTGTTTCTTATCTGATCTGGCCGTATATAGCACGAGTTTCCCATGTTTCCATTTGTTTTGCAGTTTTCAATCAGTTTTCACCTGTCAAAAATTGATTGAAGGCACAGTATAGTCACTCAAAGGTTATTTCTACCTAAATATGACTAGATTTCCTTCAGGAGATGCATGATTTAAAGATCTGAGCTCACAAAACAGCTTGGAACTCTTTTAAAGGACCATTACAACACAAAATAGCCATTTTGACTTGCAAAAAATGTATTAAAGCCCAAATGCTGTCATTCAAAGGGGATATCTGCTCAAATATGACTTGATTTTATTCAGAAGCATCTTATTTTAAATAGAACAAGGCATTTTTAGGCAAAAATCACATTTCTCCAACCACATTTGGCCTTTAATAAATTTCTAGCAAGGTGTTTTGACCTCAGCCGACTTGCTAGAAACTGATTAAAGCCCAAATACTGTCATTTAAAGGGGATATCTGCCAAAATATGACTTGATTTTATTCAGAAGCATCCTATTTTAAATAAAACAAGTCCTTTTTAGGCAAAAATCACCTTTCTTCAACCACATTTGGCCTTTAATCAATTTCTAGCAGGGAGTTTTGACCAGCCGACTTGCTAGAAACTGATTAAAGCCCAAATACTGTCATTTAAAGGGGATATCTGCCAAAATATGACTTGATTTCATTCAGAAGCATCCTATTTTAAATAAAGCAAGTCCTTTTTAGACAAAAATCACCTTTCTTCCACCAAGTCGGCTGACTTTATATTTTTAAAACAGTCATATTCATTCTATATTATAAGTACA